CTAAAGCTTGTAGATATTGAAAGAAGTGATAGTAACATATGTGAAAACGTTTTTTTTAAATGCCGACTGCAAAAACAGTGAAGCATCAATCAAATATCAGAATTATCCCAACTAACGAACATCGAAAGTGACGCAATGACCTTCGGAGGCGTTTTGTTTGAAAGTGTATAATAACTGTAAACGTATGTTTCTTGTTGCTGAAGTGACAGTTTAAACAATAATCGGAACTAAAATTTATTTTGTAACTTAGTCAGCCACGGAATTTAAGTCCTGCTGTCTATGCTGGGGTGATGGTTTCTGTTTGTTAGAGCTGTCGACAATGAGCATAAGTTACAGTGTTGAAGCTTCAAATAACAATCACCAAAGTATTTGCTTGACGCCAGTTCCTCCGTCGATGTAAAGGCAGTTTGTACGGATATATGTTTTTGAGTGAAATATGTGTAACTATAATATGTTAAAAATACCGTTCACAGCAATTTACGGTCTTTTCGGAAGATCGGGAGCACAACAAAGAAGCCTGAATAAAAAAAGTGAAATATCCCCACTATTTTAATTTGCTAATGTAGAAGTGACCATTTATGGCATAACGTTAATTACAAGTCACTGTTTATGCTATTCAGCTGGGGTCACGGAATTTTCAATGCTGCTGACTGTGTTTAAGGTATGTCTTTGATTTTTATGAAGTTCACAACTTCATAAGTGATAAACTTAAAACCGTAAGTATTAAACATTTTGACAAATATTGAGCTGCATCACTGGGACTTTCAGTTAAAAATGTTTAAACAGTTAACCTTCTTGTGACACGGGAAATGACATAATCGCTTTTAGCAATAGTCCAGCAATATCACGGCGGGGATTTCCATAAATGAGCTTCACACATTGTACCCATGTGGGGAATCGAACCTGGATCTTCGGCGTGACCAGCGAACGCTTTAACCACGAGGCTAGCTCACCGCTCCCGTCGCTGTGACAACGGTGTTATCACAGTTGATATGTGTACTTGGGTAAACTGCACATATAGAAATACATCCTTCTGTATGTGCGTGTATGTTTGTATGTATGTGTGTGTGTATGTTTGTATGTATGTATGTGTGTGTGTGTGATTGTGGTGTGTGTGTGCGCGCGTGTGTAAGGTAGCTTGCCATTAACTTGGTAGCTAATTACTGGGATATCACCTTTAAGCAGAGAGAAGGCTGCTGATCATGAGTCCCTTGAAGTCTTTATTCGTGGCAGATTGTCAAATTACATATTTAGAGATAATTCACACAATATTAACTGTACAAAGTAGATACAGTAAATAACTTTAACAATAAAATACATGTGTACATTGACAACAGAGCAATATAACTACACACCAACTATATAAATAATAGTGATTTACCTAATTCAAGGTTCTATATATAATATGTGTTTAGTAAATAGCACATTCAATAATACACCACTGTTTAGATGACAGTGTGGCAGGATGTATATATTTGGGATTATTTTAGAAGTAGTTTAGTATAAACTTATCCAAAACATAGATATTTTATTGTATTTATTAAATAAATTAGTTTACTTAGTCCACTAACTCACACCTCAGTAACATAATCTAACATGTGGTGATTGATTCTTTGTGCTAAGGCTACTGCGGTCTCAGCCTAGCTTATTGTTCTCTGCCGGTCAGCTTGGCCTGGCTTTGTATTTCCCGCGTCACATGACCACCTTGGTCATGTACTTCACACCTTTACTATGTGCACCATTTCTAGTCACAACTCTCACTGGTAAAGGACAGTTCAGTTTGGGGTGAGTTAAATATATTTATTATCATTGTACTTAGGTTTCTAGCATATATAATGTATTTTAGTACACTCATATTAAGTCATTTATGTTCCATAAGAACAGTATATCATGTATATGTTATAAACATGAATTATCAGTATATTCATGTTATTGCAATATATATTTAAATATTGTAAGATGTTACCATTGAGGTATATGCAAAATGAGTGTACTAGATTGAAGCATGTATTGGTACTATTTTATCATGAAAGTGTAAAATATCAAAACATTATAATTGTTGATTTTATCATACATATGAAATGCCTAAAAATGTTGATTGTTATACTGCTAGATGAGTTTCACATGCCATGTATACAATGTATGTGATGTTTACCATACCAGTAAGATTCATGTAGTTATATATCATTTATCAGGTCACGTAAGATACTGCATGACCAGTTTACCGTACTAAATGTAAAGTAAGCGTTCACATTATATCTTATTGATTGGTATATCAAACACATGTAGTAGATATATAATGGCAGTATTCTTTTAATGATCTATTGGTTATGATGTTTGCCTACATTTTGTAAATATTGTGTTTTAGGGTTCCTTTATCATCATCATAACCACTGATTGTGGACCATCATTGGAATAAATCCAGTTGTAAAAACAGCATGCTTTTGTGTCTCCATTACCCTGCATAAGCCTCTGCGACAACAGTGCGATAGAACGTGTATTGCTTGTGATAGATTTGAATAGATAATAATAATTATATTGCTTTTTGGATAACTACGGTAGAAGCAGCTGGCTTGAACGTTTCTGCAGATGATTGTTTTGATAAATATGGTAATACAATTACAAAAAGCGAATTGTGAATAGTAAACGACTCGGAAGTATTGTATGTTATTCTAGCATTTCATACAGGAACTGTTAACATTTACTTGCATGGCATTCTAGCGTTACCGATGTATTTACATGCAAATGTATTTAACATACTGTATAATTTCAATGCCGTAACTGCTTAACTAAATGATAGACGTAGTAGCATGACCAATATTCGAGTGAAATGTTATTTACGTGAGATTACCCGCGGGTATTTACCACTATGTACTCTTCCTCGTGCCATGCTATGCATGGCTTTATCTGTCACTTGACATATCAACAGTTAGTGAACTAATCTACTAAGATCTACATAAACACACACACATTCACTTCACATTCATGTTCCTTTGCGGTAGAATAAATTAACTTATTGTTAAGGATATCAAACCATGGTTTAAATATAGTGCCGTGCATATGATATGGTATAGGTTTAAGGCAAGAGGAGCTTAACAAGAAAATAATGTTATCTTACCTTAAAACAGAGAGAATTCTCCTGAGTCCCTTGAAGTCTTTATTCGTGGCAGAGTGAAGTTCCTAGGGACTCGGGACTTCTGTAGAATGCGTTAGGTACCTAATATTGGAGCTAATATCTCAATCTGTTAAATGCCTGGTGTATTTATTACAATAATATTCGTTAGTTACGGAGTGCAATGGCCTCGTAATATCCTTTGTGTTCCCACCTATCTGTATTGATCGTGCGTCCGGCCACGTGACAGCCTGGGGCACAACCCTAGCGTATTGTCATCGTTCTAAATTCACTATATTTAACCCATAATTAAAGTGGGTTAATAACTATGACTTGTATGTGTGTGTGTGTGTGTGTGTGTGTGTGTTTGTGCGTGTGTGTGTGTATATGTATGTATGTATGTATGCGTGCGTGCGTGCGTGCGTGCGTGCGTGCGTGCGTGCGTGTGTGCGTGTGTGTGTGTGGCTGCTTGTACTAGAAGGCTGATGCCGATTTATAGTGTTAGCCGATTGAGATACCATACCGCAGTTTAACATGAATACCCCACTCAGGCACAGTATACTGACTCAGAGCCGATCAGTTCTTGTTTTAGCCTCTTAATGCCGAGCGCCAGGCAGGATAACAACAAGTATCATCTTTTAACGTCTGTATGTAACACACACACACACAGCTTCAAACAACAACTACCAAGGTATTTGCTTGACGCCAAGATCCTCCGTCGATGTAAAGGCAGTTAATACGGATATATTTTTGTGTGTGAAAGATGTCTCACTAAAATATGTTAAAAACACCGTTCACGGCAATTTACAGTCTTTTCGGAAGATCGGGAGCACGACGAGGAAACGTGAACAAAACGTGAAATATCCTTACTATTTAAATTTGAAGTCCAATTTTGTTAACGTATGTTATTTGTTGCTAACGAAGAAGTGACCATTTAAGGACGCTCTACCACTAGATCACGGAGGCGGTCCATGTGTCTGCTTGCACACAAATAACTCTCTTCTCATTTTCTATAGCATGCTACACAACAAGCTCCTTGTGATGTTGTAATGTGTCAAAATGTGACGGAATCTAGCACCATTTCACATTTCTTGACCCATCTTACGTATCACTTTCCATTGGCGTTGCCTATGCGTCAAGGATCGCACACAATTTCCACTTTAATATTCCAATGTAATGAATGCTATACATACACAGCCAAAGCCTGTGTTTGAATATTAAGTTTAATCCTTGTCATATATATATGTTACAGGAAACAAGTATAATCCTCATCCCGAAGGAGCTTTACTTGGAATCTATTGACCAGTACCACTAAGAAGACACCACACCACTACTACCTCCTGAAGAAGTATGAAGTACTGAAGTGTGGTGACGTTGACAAGTTGATCAAACGACGCCAGTCATCAGAGGAAGATCCACTGTATTTCGTGACCATCGAAGATACGTACGACACTATCAAGCGCGCTCACCTGGCAACTGGTCATGGCGGAAGAGATAAGATGATTCATGAAATAAATAAGAAGTATGCCAACATCACCACTGATTCAATCTCCCTCTTCAAATCCATGTGTACGGAGTGCCAGCGGAAGAGGAAGCGACCAACCAACAAGGGGACCGTTGTCAAGCCCATTCTTTCCAAGGACTTTAATTCAAGGCTCAAGTGGACCTCATCGACATGCAGTCAATGAGTCAAGGCCAGTATAAGTGGATCATGGTTTACCAAGATCATCTTACCAAGTTTGTTGTGTTGCGTCCCCTAACGTCTAAACGTGCTTCTGAAGTCGCCTATCAACTTTTGGACATATTTCTCCTACTTGGCGCTCCTTGTGTGCTCCAAAGTGACAATGGATCTGAATTTACAGCACAGGTTGTAACTATATTGAAACTTATGTGGCCCTCATTGGTGATCGTGCACGGAAAGCCTCGACATCCCCAAAGCCAAGGTTCTGTAGAGAGGGCGAACTGTGACATTAAAGACATTCTAGTTGCTTGGCTTGGAGACAATGACACCAGTGATTGGACTGTAGGACTTAAGTTCGTCCAGTTTCAGAAGAATTCAAGTCTCCACAGTGGTATCAAAACCTCACAATTTGCAGCTCTCTTCGGATCTGATGCTCGGACTGGCCTTGCATCTTCAACCCTCCCACATGAAGTTCTTCAGCGACTGCAGTCAGAAGATGATCTACTTTCGGCCATTGAATCTCCTGTTTCCAATGCTGACAAGTCATTAGAAGAGCCCACTCCATCATCCAGTGACGCGTCAGAATTTATCTACTCAAACATCGCCCGCCTCCCAGGAAGATCAAGTAGCAGCACAACTTAACAGCATCATGCAGAACAGAAAAAGTGCCAGAGAAGCACAAGAAGAACAAGCCCAGCGCATGGTGAAACGCAGCAAACGTGTTTTTGGGCCTGTAAGTGTTGAAGACATAATTGTTGTAGTTATTGAATGTAGTGATAATGACATGTTCACAATTGCAGTCAAGGGTGGTGTGCTAAATGGGAAATATTCCCGTAACCAGTTCGATGTATGTGTCACCAAACTGTATAATGCTGACGATTTCAATACCGATCGAACACTCTCTTTGCCTCAAGCGGTTCAACTTGTCTGTGGTGGTCAAGGCAGGGGGTGGTGTCATAAACAACGTACATCTCTGGCGTATAGTGTACATCAATACGCCATGGTGAGTGGGGAATCTATACTACATACAAGTACATCTCTTGGCCATGGTGTACATCCCCAGTCGTTTGTGATGGGAGGGATCTCTGCCAAAAAATAATACGCAGGTATTCCACACGCTGAGGGGTATATAATACACGATGTATCGCGGATATTAATAACCTTCACAATACAGTCTTTCTCGGCCACGCCCCAGATCGTGGTTCTATCTGTTTACTTTTTGCCCGCTCAAGTCATCAGATACTCTGAAAAAAAGAAACACAAAGGTGATTTTAGATGTATATTTTATATATCACATAAATAATCAACAGATGGTAATCGAGTGTTCAAAATTAGCAAACGCCGTTGTCATTGACCCTGGTTCCATATGGTACACAGCAAACAGTATATTTTCAAGGTGAAGGTTATCTGTTCTCAATATTTTTTATGGCCACCATTAGAGTTCAAAACTGACTAGCATCATCGTCCCATGGAAGCAATCAGATCCCGAATTGTAGCCTGATAATGTTGTATCAACTTATTATATACAATATGAGATATTTTTGTAGGACTGTTAAAATTCGTAATGTTTGCCAAAAGGAGATTATCCGTTTAAATACTTTAATGTTGAGGGGTTCCTTGCCAAGGTCCACATAAACCTTAAAAAAAAAATTCAATTGCATTTTCTCCATTATTTCTAAATTTTCAAATTCCCATATTTCGGAACAGTAGAGAAGGATTGGCAGTACCAGCACATAAAACGCCTTCAATAGACTAATGGTAGGTTAAAATTTATGGCTCTTTTTACGAGGCAGTATATTGCTTTTGTGGCGTTTGCTGTTAGTGATTTCGTACAAAACACAAATTTTCTATTTCTGTGAAGATTTATACCTAAATATGTATAATTATCAACAATTTCCAGTATCTTTCCCCTAAATCACTTATGAAGGCATGTTACCACCTTGATCTTTATGGAAGGTTGTATATTATATGTCAGAGAAATAAACCAAACTGATACAATGGTCATTTGGGGTAATTTACAGGTAAAGAAAACAATAGACATTGGGTTTATGTAGAAATGTTAATTAGCTTTGGTAGTTAAGCTAGCGTCAGCTTGGCCCTGACATGATGGTTAATGAAAGTGGCATTTCAATATTGTACGGGTGTAGACTGAATTACATGATACATGTGGCTGATGTTAATTAGCTTTAATAACCATCAAATAGCCAATTCCTTTCCACTGATATGTTCCCGTATAATTAATATCACACATATTTTAGATAGTATCATTTAGCTCGACTAAGGCAGTAAAACATAATTTCACACAACGTAATCATTATGTATAAAAATGACATTTATGAGCTACCAAAGTTATTTGTTTGGGTAAAATAATCAGGAACAGATTCGATAATCTTTAATTTTATAATAAATTTAACAAGCACCTGATAACTGACAAACTATTTATCAGAATAACAATATACCATAGCACATGCATACTAGACTAGTTTCTTTTCAATAATCTTTAAATTTAACGCATCTGGCAAATCTGAGTTATCGAACAATATAGTTGTGAAACTCCATCCCTTATTGCAGAAGAAAAACAGTTAGATTTTGCATGATTGAACTTTGAACACCACAGCTACAAGTTCAGATATCACCAATAAAACGATCAAATTTGTGCCCATTTGGGTCGTTACAACCACCTCGAAGTTTATGATGAGTGATCTGATCACCTCCAGTTCCATATGTTTTCAATATGTGGTGTACATTGCTTGATATGTTTTTATCATCGGCGTTTTTAAATAAAGACAAAGAGTCTTCACATCGTAGAGTGTCATCCAACATATTCCAATCCCATACACCAGATGGAAAAAGCAATGTTTTACGTTTCTGTGCAACAAAGTGGAATTTGGAGAATGGAGAGTATACCTTGTAGCGTAAGTGGAACTGTCAGACACATTAACAGGAATTAGATCTGAAAGATAATCGGGCGTTCTTTTTGAACATCTTATTAAAGACACATATTTATGGAAGCGTATCAGTGCGAGTTGATGAAAGTATCACCTACGTTGATGATACTTACATTTACGTAGATGATACTATAATCTACGTAGATGATGCTTTCATCTAGGAAGATGATAGTTTTGGCTTCGTAGATGATATTACTCACATCTACGTGGAAGATACATCTAGGTAACAATGTTTTCTCGAGTAATCGACACAAGTTCCGGATCAGTTATATATAAACTTTGACTTTCTACCTTGACATGTCTTTATTGAGATATTATCTAAACATTGCATAAAGTAAATCTTCATTTCAATGTGTCAAAGTTACTGGAGAATGCCACACGCCACACGCTACTCTACAATATAGAGGGGAAGAGCACAACACATTCTCCAATCTACAAGCACACAAAAAACTGTAGGTCATTATTCAAAATTTTAGTGAAATTATATGTCAACCATAACATGGTGTAAGCCGGAGAAATCACTCGAATATGTTGATCCTCAGGATGTCTCCATTGCGGAAATGAGGTTTAAGAGGTAAAACATGAATATGAAGGGTTGAGAATCAGTCAAACTATAAAACTATATGAAACCACTACTCGTCATCATCCTATGAAGCACCGAAGGTACAAATCTGCAGTTTGTGTTTTTATGTTAGCGCTGATAGTTTGATAAGTTGAAATTAACTCAGTATGTTGTAAAAATACGGAAAAGGCCAAATGAAAATAAACAACCAGCATGCTCCCAAACATTGAATTAAATAAACAGAAATAAAGTAATCACATATATCTAAAATATAAATGATTGTATCAACTAGTATCCAACTTGGGTCGCAACTGCACAAGACAATATCACTGTCTGAGTAACGATACGTGCGATATTAATATCACATATGGAGATGAAAGTATCATCAACGTAGTTGAAAGTAGTATCTACGGAGGTGATAAAAGATTTAGACTGTGACACTAATACGCTTCCATACATATTGTATGACTTAAGCGGCGGCTACTTATAGTTGAGGGGCGGTCGGGTAGCCTAGTGGTTAAAGCGTTCGCTCGTTACGCCGAAGACCCGGGTTCGATTCCCGACATGGATACAATGTGTGAAGCCCATTTCTGGTGTCCCCCTCCCTGATATTGCTGGAATATTGCTAAAAGCGGCGTAGAGCCATACTCACTCACTCATTTAGAGCTGAATAGTCCGTTTCATTATAGAATGAGACACTCCTCTGACAGATCCTCATATGTTTTCATAATGCATCTAGATGAAGCTGTCCTAATAACATTTCTTGGTACAATTATTCCAGGTGTAATCACTTTAATCAAATATCGGTAAGTGAATGAGTTATATACAGTTTGGAGGCTATTCCGTTGAATATTACAAGCTTCTTAAACAGTTGATCATTGCAGAAACTTTGCCAATAATACTATTGTTATGCACCTGCCACTGACCATCATGTAGAATTAGTCCAAGATGTTTGTGAATAGATCCGTCATTGTACTTGCTGTTAACTTCCTTGAAAATAAACTTCATTATTTTCATCGTCTTATTAGGAAAAACATTAAAAGTTCCAAGTTTTTGCTCATTTTGCTATCAATTCTAAATCAGTATTTAAAGATGTTGTTGATAAGTCAGGGTAATCAATAATTACATATAGAGATGTATCGTCAGTCAATTATTTGATGTTGCACTAAATAGTATTTACTATATCATTAATGAATACCAAAAATAATAATGGCCCTAAGACCGAACTGTGTGGGAATCCTGTGTTTACTGGCTTTATATTGAATTTAAAGCCATTTATAACAGTCAGCTGTTTTATGTTCGTTAAAAACTTTCAAACCATTTCAAGAGGGAACCATGCATCCCACTATGACGCAATTTACATAAAAGACACTTCTGCCAAACTGGGTGGAATGCTTTACGTATGTCACAAAATACAGCTCTTACTTCTTCACCATCGTCCTTTGCCTCAGCTATAAAATTATAACTGTAAAGAAGTAATTGGTATATCATCTAAGAAAAGAAATGACACATGTTTAAACATGCATTGCTCAAACTCTTTTCACAAACAACTTGTAAGGGAGACAGGTAAATAATTAGAAACATCATGAACAGTCTTCTCTGTATGTACTGGAACCACTGGGGAACATTTCTATATATCTGGAAAATGCGAAGTTGATTAAGAAGAATTAAAGAAATTATATAAATGAACTAATAATTGTTCTGATAAATACCTTTGAACACGATTACTAATGTTATCTATCCCTGTTGCTTTGGAAATATTGAGAGATAATAAAATTTTCCATACTTCAGATTTGTGGAAGCTTATACTTTGAAGGCAATAGTCAACGTTTTCAAATGTATCATCATCTGGAATTTCATCATTGGGATTATCAACAGTTGCAATGCCTACAAAGTAGTTTTTGAATATATTTGCTTTATCAATATCATCTTTTTACCCAACATCATTTTCTTCTATGTGAAAAAAAAATGTTTTCGTTCTATTGTCTGTTGACGATAATACTTCTTAATACGCCACCGTGATTTGCCTCATACCAAAATACGTTGAAAGATGGTACACACACACACACACACACACACACACACACACACACACACGTGCATGCACGTCGCTATGTAAGTGCAATAATCTT